CGGCCGATGACCGACTTCCATGGGCCATTCTGTCCTTTCTTCAGGCCTCCCATCGGAGAGCCACAACCCCCTTATTTGCCCTCAGCATAGATGAGGAGAGTCTCTCCGATGTTTTTATGACTTTGTGATATTATGTGGCTATGTTGAGAAGCGTGCGAACTCAGGATTAAGCTCCAGTGTTTAGTTCCATACACGCATTTGCACAAGGAAGCTCGGAAGGAAATCACCTGAGTTCGCACATTCCTTCTCTGTTCGAAAGAAATTCGCGCTCTCTAATCTTGAGCTGACACCATGTATTGCATCTGAGAAAGAAAGCGGCGGCCCCACTCCGCAGAGTGTGCTCAGGTCCTTGGCTCTTGTACTGGATGCGCGCAAAAATTCATGTCACCTGTCACCTGGAACAGAAAGAGAAAGACACTCAGAAAGACACTTGATGGATCTTGATGGTGTGTTTTCATGTTTACTGTGTGTTTACTATTTGGACTTTGCACGGATCATTGCAACATCTCTACATCAACACGTCTGGAAATGTGGAACATTGTGGAACCCCCTGTGCTCTGCATAGATGGTTCCGTTTTGCTTGGTTTGATCCGAAGGTAGTGCTTGGTTTTTATATAACGATATATAACGTCTCTTTATGTCTCTATATGTCTCTATATGTCTTGAAGCTGTTCAAGGTGGTTCCATCGCGAAATCTAAGGCAACAAGGATCTGCACAGGTGTGTTTAGGCATGAGCTAGCCACGCATGACAAGCTGGAAGCTGTCTAGAGGGTCCAAGCGGTGGCATCAATGTGGGCCTAGTCGTCATCATCCAACTCTTGAGCATTATCATTAATCTCGTTGCTTTTAAATATGCATATATGTAATTATATGTATATATATAATATGGATGCATAATATATATATATATAAATCAAATACATACTTGACCAGCTGTTTCGTGATATCCCATTTCTTCCCATTTTGCACTGCAGATCTGGATCCGCAGCAAAGCCATGGATGCCCGGCAGCGGCTGCAACTCCTGGAGAAATTACATGGGAGCTGTGGCAGCAAAGCGTCTCAAAGTTTCGCGAAACCATGGGATGTTGGTGGTTTTGAGCACTGCAAAGTTCATCCTTCAGGCGATATATAGGTAGATATATAGGTAATAAATAAATATTCAACAAATCTCAGGGTGAACAAAGAGTAGGCGTGGTCCTTGAAGTGCAGACATCAATGGGTGTTAGTTGCAATTGAGGGACTTGGCAGTCGACAGTATGGGATCTGTCGTAAGTCCAACGGAACAGTCAAGCTGCACTATAGTTGGAGTGATTTGTTTGAATGATAGACCGTGTATTGTGGATATTGCTCAGTCACAATGAGCTTCCGTCTGGACAACATCAAACAGCTTTTCGCATCAGCTTCAACAAGGATTGATGCTCTTGACTCTTGCTTACCCGCACACCAAACAGCAGGAGTGTTGTTTTGCAGAGACATGCAGCTTTGAAAAAGCAGTGCGCTGAGGAATGCTGGCATTGGCACCCCGGTGGCAGGCACAAATGCATTGGCCTGTTACCAGCAGCTCTATGCCCTCTACTTCAGCGAGCAGGACTACAATTTTGGACCTTTCCAGTTGTCCCATAATTGATGGAAGAATTTGCAGCCAACCTCTTATTTGCGGGGTCAAAACTATGGTTTCTGTATAGACTTTCCTTTTGATGCAACGAGTAGTGGAGTCCAGGGCGGCCTGTCCAGGAGTACTTGCAAGCCGCGACAGTGGCCTTCTCGCTGTACTCAGCGCTGGACAGATCTGTCAGGCGCAGTGAATGACTGGTATGGAAAGTGAAAGAACTTAGAACAGTTCATTGTCCATATTTGTCTAGAATCTTATTTGTCCATCAAGAAATTGCGATTATAGTATTGAAAAAGATATGCCGCGGTATACTGCAGGCACAGTGGTGAAGCAGTTCCAGCAAGCAGTTTTGCTGTGCCTCGGCATTGAACTACTGGACCTGGGTATTTATTTGCAATGTGATGAGCAGCTATGGAAAAAATCTTGAAGCCATCAATGCCTCATCAAAGCATGTACAAGCATCTACACGAAGCTGTGAGCTGTCCAACCACTTAGAACTCCCTTGTTCCACTCTTTGGTGCTCCCTCAAACCTGTGCAATGCTGTATCATTTCGCACAACTCGAAGATATTTGGGCTTTCAGCGTGATTCTGTCCATTTCAAGGTGACTCCTGTTCTGGAGCAGCAGAGAGCTGCACTCTTGATGCTTATCAGTGCCTTGACATTACGCATGCCGCCTCTAAGACAAGCCACTGCATTTCACGGCCATGACAAGTTTTCAATCCAGAAGACGTTGAGGACGCTTGATCTACTCATCTTTGGGTCAAATTCATGGGGGGGATTGTGATTTCTGATCTGGGGATGAGATTACATTCCACTGATATCAGAAATACATATATAGAGATACAATGAGATACAATACAAATACAAATAAATAAATAGATAGATAAATACATGAATAAATCAATAAATCAATAAATACATAAGGGGTTGGTGAAACTGCAGAATTTCCGGGGGCCTGTTATGAGTTTGGTCGTCTCTAGGTGCCTTGACCTTAACCCCCGAGCAGCAGCTGCTGATGCCTGGGCCCTGCAAGCCCAGCTTTGGCGCCACGGGTGAGGACATGGCCTCGCTACAGAGCTGGTTTCAGGCGCATTTCATGTGGAGTTTTTTCTTGGGGACATGGGCGTAACCAAATATGGGTGCCTCAATATGTGGCTATTTTGATGGGAACATGATTATGATCCAACATGGAATCTTGGGGGTCTACCCATTTCAGACAAACGCAAAGGGTGTATAAAGGTGCAAACAGCAAAATAGAGAATGCCAAATGCAAACATATCAATGTAGTTTGGGCAAATGGGGAGTACATGCTGAAACCATTCGGAGGAATGCGAAGAGAGGGATCATGTCCATTTTGTAAGCAGCTCATAGCTTTGGACTGGGGTTTCAGGAAGCGACAGAGGTGGCACACAAGGCAGCGGTCTCCTTGCAAGAAGCGCAGACGATGTTAGCCGAGTTGGACCTAAAGTGTCACTTGGATGGTTCGAGCGGTGAGAACCTTGACCCGTGGGTGGTTTTCAGACCCCGTACTGGTGATTATACCAAATCCCATCCCTAGGTGGTAAGACTTTTGACTCAGGCTTCTTTGGGAAGGACCGGGAAGGACGTGGTATTGTGTGAGGTTTCTCTGTTGCCAACCAGCCGAGGCAATCAGGAGCCACTAGCCGTGGAGCCCTAATGGCCGAGCCTCAGCAAAATGGAGTGCAGCGCTGGCCAAGTGGGTGGCAAGATCATTTCTGGTTCAAATGTAGGACTTTGGATGACCTCAAAATCACGAAAGCTTCTGCTAGCTGAAGTCCTTCTCACTTTAGGAAGGTATTGCCAGGGCCATCAGGATCAGCATCATCAGACCTACACTCCACTTTGCATCTCCCAATTCCTCACACACTGCTCTTCCACCACACGTTCGTCCTTATCCCTTTACCCTCCCAGCTAGCTCTTGTCCTTTATCCCTTGTTCTCAAGTATGTGATATGGTCAAAACATGGTTTGTCTTCCTATAAAAGGGATGGTCATCCCCCCATTCAGAATTCAAAGGGTGAATAGACCCATCATAAGGAGATCCTAATGGTGGAATGACCATACCCCAGTAGTCCCATGTCACTTGACCCTGGCTCGTATTATGACCGACTTGGGCAGCTGTTTCTCAGTTTTGTTGCTACCCCTCTGCCACTGCGAAAAAGGGTCTGGCTCAAGCCTCATGGCCAAACCCGCCATATTCGCGAAGCTTGGCTGCAAACAGGCATGCAACCATTTCATTTGAGCAGGAGTATGGAAAGGATTGGAAAGGTTATAGATGAATGGAGGACTGGGGTCCTTCCCGGAACTATGAGGCGATCCTGTCAAGTGATGCGAGTTTTCCCGACTTTTGCTGACAGTGCTGGTGGCTTCTGGTTTATGCACTGAGGTAGCGAACCATTCAGGAGTGCACCATGGCAATGGATGATTTTAGAATACTCCTGACCAGGAGAGACGGCTGCTCGCGGGGTACTTCACTACAGCTGAAGCTGTAAACTGATGTAAACTCGAATTTTCCAGCTTCTCTAGCGTCACACTCCTGTTCAGGGCAATATTGATTCAATTCGTCTGTGACAACAAAACTTCCGCAGAGAACAAGACGAGACGACCACTCACAATGTGTGAAGGCAGTTCATTCATCTCTGCACACCGAAACAGATTAACAGATTGTTGGCTTTTGTTTTGGTCATCGGTTCACTGCGATCATTTTCAAGTCACTGGAAAGTATACCATGGCAACATAAATGGGCATTTATGCTAATGTTGGATGTATTTACGGTACATTTCCTGTACCATGTCCTCCAAGTTACCGTTCTTTCGCACTAAAAAGACAAACAGATAGGGAAAATGTCCTGTCTCAAAGCACACTGAAACTACAATATGAGTAGGTATCTCGTCTTACTTAATCTCCTCAAGAAGTCATCGCCATGAATCCTTGGTGACCCCCTTGGTCTGTTTGAGAGATTTGTCCGTGCCCTCAGTCCCCGCAGGAGCTCTTTTTGGGCCAGATCCTCAGACCGGGTTTCGGCTACCGGTCCTGGTTTCATCGCGATCGGATCTGAGATCTACATCGTTTTGGCCTTGCACTTTGCGTTGTGCGTCTTGATCCTCTCAAAAGCCCCAGGCACGTTATGGTGAGACATGTCATACCCAATACCCAAGCCATTCAGACCCCGTTGATCCTTCATAATCGAGCACTTGCAATAGAAAGCATGGACACGGAGCAACCAGCCTGGCTGGAGGTGATCACATTCTAGGCATAGCTTTTGGAGATGTGAAAGATGCGCAATCCCCAATTTCCCCATCCTTCAAGGTGGCATGTTCAACATGTTCTGCTCAATTTTGTTTGGTTTGGAACATTTTTTGTTTTCTCACTGGACTTTTTGTTCGCAATTTCACCTGATGCTGATTGCAGGAGATAGGCCCTTCAGCATTGTCTCGGGCATCACCCTTTCCCAGCCAGTGCAGTGGGGCTATTCCGCGTTTTGCCTTGTGAGCGTGCGCCATGGGTGCCACTTGAGTGTTGCTGAGGATAAGGTTTGAATATGTTTGAATCCAGCTGTGGAGTTACTGCACCAACTCTCGGCCCTGAGGTATTCTTCATAGTGCAGGTGCCACCAAAATCTGCTGCAGAATGGGTGTGTTTTGTGAAGGCAGCAAGGTTCAATGTGTGTGCACAGCTACACCCCTGGTAAAAACAGCCGCACATGAGTACGAGATCAAAATCAGATAATGTAAATATGTTTTTAATTTTTCCACACCAGCCAGATATTGGGACAACAAATGGGCAATGTTCAAACCCTTATTGGTCAATGATTGTAGGGGATCATACTATCCAATATTTTGGGGATTGTCACGATCCATTCTGTGAAATCCTTCTAAATACGCAGCATAAAGGGACGACAGTGGGTGTGGCACACTGCTCAAATCCTTTGGATTTCCAGGCCTATGTCGGAGCAGTTTACATGTTGGAGAGCCATTTGAACCTTGGCATTGAGGCATTTGGGCTGTTGGGTACTGGAAACTGCAAGCGGTGGACAAAAGATGTAGTTTCGGTGGGGCATGGTTGAAAGGCCTGGTTGGCTTCCGGGGGAATCATGCCATTTCCAGTGGATCCCAGCCCAATCTCGAAAGGATGACCATGGTGTGAGCTTCCTTCTGAACTGTTGGGAATCGTGAAGGCCACCTATTGCTACTTAGGCACTTTCCTGTGAATTGAATCCTTAAGACAAGAAGGGATGCCTCTTTGTAAGGGGAACTCGGCCTATATGCGTCAAACATTTGGGCCAACTAAGGAACATGTACTACTACTTCCTGGTGTGGATCCTAGATCCTAGATTCAGCGATGAGCAAGAACCAACAGATGAGAGCAGCGTTGAATCTTTTCCGTTTTCAAAATCTTTGTGTTGCTTCTGCAGGCAGCATCCATCTTGGTTGACATCGCCTTCCTTTTCCTCTTCATTTGGGCTTGGCTGACTGCTGTACCGCTGGTGCTCTTCTTGACTCTGACGATTGTGCCACTTGGCAGAGCGTGGCAGCTATAATGCCTAGTGCATGGTCTTCCGATTCCAAGTCTGAAAAAGATGGTTGTGAAATTAGCCAGTCATATCGCTGCGGGCTCCTAAACAATTGCCCTTGTGGCATTGGTAAATGCTTGGCTGAGGTTCAAGTTCACTGCACTGTACATCACCTCCAAGTACTCAAAACTTGTCAGGACATGCCGATCTTGTTGGTGAGCCTGGGGAAAAGACAAGGGTTGGAGCAATGTCACCTATTCTCATAATTTTGAATATAGATTTGTGATGATTTATGAATTTTGCGGGTTTGATCCAGGTGAGCATTCAGTATAGCAAGATATACCAAGTATACCACCTCATGGTGCTGCCAGGAGTCAATACAACGTGGCTTGGCAGCTTGTGGGAATTTGGGAAGGGTGAGAGGAAGTGCTGAAGTCATCATCCTAAACTTCTATTGATCAAAATTCATGATTTTCCAACTTATATATAGTTTATATATTTATTACTGTATGTTCCCGTGTTTTTACCAATTTCTGCCCATATTTTCCATATTTTTCCATCATGATCCCTGCCCCTAGGCTGAGCTACTGCCGCACTTGAAGAGCGCACTGGGGCGATCCTTCAACGTGGCACCGCAGCCCGACACCCAGGGCGCATCCCCGGACCCCAGGGGCGCGCAGCGAATTCCATAGAGGTTTGCGGATTTTTAAGTACTGCAGATAGTGCGAAGAGTTTCCATTAAGAAATCGGAGGGGAACTGCACGTTTGTGGATTCTCCAATCCCTTCGCAAGCACAAGATGCCATGTTTTCTGGACACCGAATTTTGTGTAGATATACAGGGGATTCGCGGCTCCGTGGTGCCTGCCGAGTCACCGAGGTTTACTCCAGCACCTGTGCCAAGAGGAATGGCCTCCATGCAGGCCCCGACTCTCAAGAAGTGCAGATGAAAATGTAGGGAGTCGGAGACGATATTTTGATCAGCCTTGTAGTTCAGGAACGACCTCCACCTCAATTTGATGCTGGCCAGAAGGCAGAGTCAACATGTCTGACAATATGACAATGCAGCAGCCGTCCTTTCTCTACTTCCGAATTTTCTACGGAAACTTGCCATGGTTGTTGAGTGGGCTGTTTGAGTCCCTCCTTGAACATCCTTGCACTGTGAACATGCACGGTGCCTATATGCAAGAGACTTCAGCTTGTGTTGGCATGGAATGAAATGAGTGTCCTTGCAGTCCTTGCATGCTGCAATGTTGGAATTCTGTGATAGACTTTGTCTCATCGCCTTGCCACGGCATGGGAGGCTTACCAGACTATGCCCGAGGCTGTGGGATGCTGGGGTCGTTTTGCACGGGAGAATAACGAGCAGTGGATTTCTATGGATGCTGACCCCTTCGCTTTCAGCAGGTTCCATGCTGGCTGCCCCTGGCTGCTGATGTTTTGTTTGCTGCCGCGGCTCAAGCTCATTCCTTTCAGTTCCTTTCAATCTCGCGCCCGCACGAAGATGGCTCAGGTCGCTGAAGCTGCGGCTGCAGAGACCCTTTGCTGTGCAGTTTGCTGTGCTGGCTGTACAGGTTGTTGTGGTGGAGATTGCTGTCGCGATTGTTTGGAAGGCTGTGGCCTCCTGTCTTGCTGCGAGCTCCTCGGCTGCCTGGCGTGTCTTAGCTGTTGCTGCCCATGCTGCTGTCAGTCGCAGAAGCAGGGGCCACCACCTGTGGTGCTTGCGCAGGGGCCAGCCATGTATCCCACTGGCTACACCCCGGAGCAGATGATGATGGGTCCACCGGTCTATGCGCCACAAGCACAAGTGATGGGTTACCCGCAAGGAGCCTATCGCTAGTGTCATATGTAAAGGAGACAGACTGTCAGTAGGAAGTAGCTTTTGTGTGGGTCCGAGCCTGGCTTTGTACAGAGTTCATGGTGAAGGCAAGCTGGACCTCGTTTCCCAAAATTGTACAGCTCCATAAAGCGAAACCCTCAGCAAATCTTGGAAAAGAGAGGTGTTTTGCTTGACGAGAGATGAACGCTGGCAAATACAAAAGGTGCAGTTGCTGTTTTGCTTCCATTTTTCAAGGTTCCAATGGGCATAGGACGCACAGATTTCCAGCGGGCTCCAGAAACAGGAATATGACTCGGCTTCAAGGCCCTAGGCAGAAACCACAACAGCTTGAGCTCCAGCAACCTATGTGTTGAGTTTGTCACGATTAGATGAATTTATATGAATTTCTTAATGTGACATTTGGGCCATTTGGGCCTTTCTTGCTCTCATGTCAACCATTCCTGCATCCTGCCAGTTTCAGCGATCAATGCGGTCAAGTTCGCCCTCACGGCTGGTGAGGGTGGTGCAGTGAGCACTGTTGAGATGACCGATGCGTAGTCAAAAGAGGCAGAAATATGTGGCGCGGAGATATTTTGAGGTTGCCCAGTGTTGATTCATGGTGCATGATCCATTCATTCCATGCCACCGCCCTCTGAGTCTGCAGATTTTCACCCGGATTTGCCGTAAATAGCGCGCCAGTACGGGAGTGTCTCATGCAGAGATGGTGAAAAGAGAGCCAACCAACCAGTTACCGCCCTGTTTTGACATCGAAAAACAGAGCATCCTATCAGAGATGAAGACCAATCCCCGCTACATTGGAGAGAACCTGACCTAAGGTTTCTATGAACCACACATGGAGTTATCTGATATTATCTGATATTATCTCTGCAACAGTCTTCGAACTGGGCGCTTCGAGGTGACAGTACCTAGTTTTGGTGGGTGAATATATACGAAGGACAATGCTAGCCATGTAAGGCAACTCAGGTATCACTTCAACCATCTCCAACCCGTAGTTTTCATTTGGTTACTGTAGTAGAGGAGCAACTCTCATTGAACAACCAATTCGCAAAGAACAAATAGTCGAAAAAAAACTATATCAAAACGGCTTATCTATTTCCCCAAAGACCGTTCACGTCGCATGGCTCACATTGCAGGCATCAGATCCCATCAAATGGTCCATTGAAATCGGTTTCGCAGCAGTTTGGATCACAGTGATCACAGTGCCCCGTGCTGCAGTTCAAGAGCTTTTTAAGGCTGGGTCCAGTCTGGCACTTGACCTTCCTCACATCTTGGGAACTGTAACCCTTGGCGATAGGCGCAAGCACTTGAAAGCCATGGCCAAGGATGAACTCGTTCCTTTGGCCCAGGGTAGAGCTGGGAAAGGGTACGTGACTAGTGAAGTTTTGAAGGAACCGTTTGAAAGAACAGGATCATCACTTGCCCATTTAAGTTCTTTTGCCAGGCCAGAAAAACTTTGAGCCTTGAAATTCAACTTTCCAACTATTGTATGCATGGACCAACGAGAGGTTTGCTTGAACAGCTCCAATTTGTTTTAAATGAAATAGTCAAATAGTCTTGGAAAGCTCTTTTCTTCAGATTTGAACCCTGTTTGTTGTTGCTCAGTTGGCCAAGGTGCCTTACGTGAACACCTGGTTCTGGCCATCCTTCACATTGGTTGGTACGTCTTCCCTCTTCTTTGGTGCAGATCTTGGCTGTTGAAAAAAGGATAGACCTTGGAACGACTACATCAACGGTTTCTGAACGGGGGAAACAATGTCAACTCGAGAAAGGATGGATCTCTATCCATTCAAGCAAGCAGGTTGTAAACTCATGAGAGTGTCGTATCTCACTTGCGAGGTGTCTACATTGGCAAGGTCACCAACTCCCACGAGTGGAAGGAGATCTTTTTGGACTACTGCCACCACAAGAGGACCTCTTATTCGCCCAGAGCTTGGCAATGCTTAGCAATGCTTGGCAGGTCTTTTTCCCGAGAGATGCTCACTAGCTGAGGCCCAATCCTCTCGACAAGGTGGCCCGCTGTGTGATGAATCTGCTTCGCATCGTTCCCAAGTGAGAGGCCCTTGGGCCAATGGGCAGGTGGGGCTGGGAAAATTGCATCAGGAAGACCTGCTTTTCGGTGATGATCAACGAATCGCAATCATTTGAACATGATTTTGCTGGTCCACTTGGACCCCAATTTTCACCAATCTCCAAAATCCCCAAATGCCAAGCACCCCAGGTCACGGCAATATCAGGGGCAGCACTGGCGGAGCCCTGGCGTTGATTTCCGCATTTGGCAGGGAAAAAATCTGGCAGAAGACAGTTTGGCATCTGAAGCTTCTCCTCATGGCATATGGGGGCTTCCTAAAATGTGGGTACCCCAAATCATCCAAAGTTAGACCATTTTAGTCCACATGAAGACCAAGTCATGATCCGAACTGGTGGATGAAACTGGGATCGGTTTGATGATGTGCTAAACTTCGGCGCCAGAGGTGCTACAGTAGGATTGGCATCATGGTCATGGCATGGAAAAGGAGAGCCAATGGAAGCCATGGTTTGGGTCAAGCTACAAATACGGAGGGTTAGGTGCCATGAACATGGCAAACAAGATCAATCAACGATGTTTGATGCAGCCATTTTGAACATCCAGATAAGATTAATTGTTCCAAGATCTAAACACCTTGATCAACTGCATAGGTCCCAGGTCCTTCATTTCACATGTTCTACAAGATGGTTGTTTCAACCAATGGTTCAAACATTTGTGGCTTTGAGGGCTTAGATTTATCATAAAATTGATCCTTGTGAACAATGTGAACAGGCACAACGGCTTTTCTTCCATCGATTTAGATGTCTTAGATGTCTTAGATGTCTTAGATGCGGCCTGGTCATGGTCATAGCGGCTGTGGATGCTGCGGGCCTGTGGCTCCGTGCATCCCAAAGAGTTTTCCATCGCGTCCCTGGCGTCCCCCGCTAGCACCAGCGCTTGGAGTTGCGGCGTTTGCAATGTCCGGGTGCTTAGCGGGTGAGCAACGCGAGCAACGTGCGGTGAACTTATGGTGAACTGTGGGAGGAACTAGAACAGACTATCAGTCAATTGCTAATTGCTTATTGCTAATTGCTTATTGCTAATTGCTTCACAAGGCCCCAACCACCTACCCCAGACTATCAGTGACTATCACATACTATCGCTACAAATAAGCACAGTCTGGTGCAAGGCTTGCGCCAGCCTCTGATCGAGCGCGGGGACGTGGCCTTGCTCTGAAGGCGATGTCCAAGGCAGAGTGGGTGGTAGTGACTGGACTGGTCAAAGGGATTGACCATAAGTCATCATAAGTCCATAAGAGTGACTCACTTGGCAAATAGTTTTCCCACGACGCTCCAGTATGGAAGCGCAGCCGTGACGTTAATCTGAATCAAATGCTACATTTTTCTATTTGCCTAGGCACAGACAGTCAGTTGTGATTTTCCCAGTTTTGGCTTCCTTTTTTGAAGGAAGGCTATGTTCAGAATTCAATTTTGAAACTTCTGTTTAATTGTTTATCCATGTTTATCCATGTTTATCCAATGTGGTTTCTGTTTAACCAGAATGGAATCCCGAGATGGACCGATCCTAAGCCATCCTCTCCAAGATCAGCGGGGCCCAGGGGCCTGGCCGGATTTTTGCCTTTGCTGGGCCCAAGGGCGGCTTGAAGCCCCAAAGCCCAGCTGCAGCGGATCTAGGCAGACATGTAACCTGCATTAACCTGCGGCAATTTGTTGATTTTGTGGCTGAACGGTGAACCCAAGTTGGACGCTTTCCCAATATATTGGATTTCCAGAATTTCTGTGGATTCATGGAGGCTCATGGATGAGGCTCATGTTTGTTTGCAACTGGGTTTCATCGATGTCCCAGACAATGGATGGGCATGATGGGCTGAGACACTTATCCGTGAGCACTCCGGAGGCTTTTTCGTTGGCCTGCAAGGCACGGAAAAGGACTACGTGCTTGTGCAGCCTGTCAGTGATGGAGGCACCGACACTGGGAAGCTGACCACATATCTTTCGGGGATTCCCCCACTACTAAGCAGAGAGCCACCAACAGACGTCAGCAGCCATAACTGGCCTTCCTAATCCCTTCGAAGTGATCCAAACCCAAAGCCAGGTCTTTCAGAAGCAGCAGCACAGCGAAGGGATGCACTGCTGGCCTGGGGCTTTGGAGCTGGTCATGGCTTGCCGCAGGTGGGGTGAGAAAGCACGGGGTGTTGACGTAGCTCCTTTGAAGTTGGGATGTGTCAATAAAATGCTGAACATGCTCCTGATTCTTGATTTTAGGTGAAAGAAACCATGACAATCTTGCAAAAGTCTTGGGATGCACACCTTCTGGCAAAATATTGATTCAGGTGGTGGACCTCCCTACTGCACAGCAACTGGGTAGCGACGGCGTGGAGTGGGAGCCCTACTGCTGGTCTGAAGATCTGGCAAAGGAGTTTCTGGGCAAACTTGGTGGGGGAGTCTCAATGACGCTGGGTTTTGGTGATTTCCTGGTGCTTTGCTGGTGGTTGTTGGTTTGCCTCCTGTCAGTTTCACAGTGCTTTTGATGGTTATTCTGCGAGGTTCCGTTGAGGAAAGGCTCCGCTCCGAGGCTGCAAAGTCCGTGTCCGCAGATGGAGTTGTTGCATGGGAAGACCTGGGCAGTGCAGCGTGCAGTGCAGTGGCGCCAGGCATGGCCGGACTGGGTTTGACGGATACCGGGCCCCAGGTTTCCCGTTTTGGTAGAACCAAAACACAAAAACACATTTAAATAACATGTTTCTATATGTTTCTATCCTTTTTGGTGACCCCCAAAAAATCTGAAAAAACTCATTCAAACTTTAAGCATCAACGCCATTTCCCGATCAGGACTATGCAGAGGAGCTGCATGTCCGCAGCGGTGGAGGTCGCTGTGGATCTGCAGTGGACGCTGGGGTCCGAGCCTCGAGGGCCCTTGGGGGCGTCGTGCCAGGCTGGGAGTGGTAAATGCTGGGGGAAATGGTTGGGAAATAGCTGGTAATTGGGTCTTAAATCCCTTCTGACTTATATATATATATATTATATATATATAATATATATATATATATATATTATGAGTATGAGTATGATAGACACCAAGTACTCCGCATTCACTTTGGGCACCATCCACCCCGGGGCATTCGAGGTCATTTGCAGCAGCGAAGAGGAAGCGCTGAAAGCGATCAATGACGTAGGCCGGCTTGAGACCTCCTTTGAAGTTTCACAGAATTGAAAAAATGGCAGAACACCCTATATTCCGGGGTGAAGAACCATGGTTTACTTTAAAAAAAACCTTAATCTGTAAACGAAACTATTGAAACTTAGATATGGACAGACTGGCTTTTTGAAAAGGATAAGACAAAAGGGGCCGACAGACATAGCAGGAAGTTTCTGCATTTTGTGTCACAACCTCATCCACATGGACATCGACATACATCGACCATTCGCAAGAATTCCGTGCGTGTTTCAGATATCTTGGCAGAGCAGAACATTACCAACTGCCTTCAACTGCCTTTAATCCTCAAAGGTCGTAGGTGAATGACCTCTCCAAGGTTTTTCAGATTTTCACAGAATCTCCCTGCTGAACCGGGGGAAGGTTGTGGAGGTTGTCTCCCAATTTCGCCCAGGACCTCGTGATGCTTTCATCAAAGCCGAGCTCGGCTGGGCAGGGCAGAGCAATCGTATCAGCCGTTACTCCGAGACACCGGTGCCGTGGCCGCTTCACGAAGCCGTCGAAACACAATTGAACACGCTGAATTCCGACATTGTCTAATTGTGTTTCCAGTTTGGGCGGAATATGGGCTTGCTGTATTTGCTTTACGGATGCAATGGTAATGCATTTTATGGGTTTCGTCACCAAAACGGCCCAGGAGCAACGCCAGCACTTCCTGTCCTGGCTTCGGGCACGCTTGCAAGACGGAGATGTGCTGGTAGAGCCAGCCCCTGGGCTCTGATCCCAACTCTCGAAGTCAAGTCTTGAAGATTTTTGTGTATCTTCAAACATCTTAAAGCATTTTCAAGCATCTTCAAGCAGCTTCAAACATCTTGAAACTCAAAGTTCTTGGACCAGAGCTGGTCTCGTGCTGGCTTTCTGCCATGTCTCAGGAGTATCAGCGCGTTCTCGATTTTTCCGTACAGTTTGATGTCTTCGAAGATGGCATCTCCATCTTTAGCAAGAAACTCATTCGCAGAACGACATAGAATTTCACAATTTTTCAGGTTTGCACCACCAAAAAGATGACATTGTTCACAAACTCCAAACCTGCCCTCCAGCCCAGAGACAATAACTATTTATGGCGGCGTAGGGCGTAGAGGAATGAATTATAAAGTCTTTAAAAGCCCGTGAATTCAAGGATCAGGCTGTAACCTTAGCCTCAGCGAATTGGGTTTATGCACTGCATGTCAATCACAATATGTCCAATCAACATGGGTAATTAATATAATTGATATTAATGGGGGGGATGTTTTATCCTCCCCTCACCTCGCGTTGCCCTTGAGGAATATTTTCCACACCAACGAGCGTGGCCACTTTGTGTCCACGGACTTGTCGCCGAATGTTTGGAGCACCAGCTGGGCCGGGGATCCAGCTGCTCGGGGGCGGTGGCCACATGATGCACAAAAACGTAGGGCCTCTGGGTTTTCAATGAAGTACATTGAAGATTTTTGAAGTATCCTAAGTATCCATTATCCATTCCCATTTAGGCAAAAACTGCCAACATGTCATTGAACATATCGCAGCTTGGCATGAAAGTGAGGCCCAAGCGTTGGATACACGTGTCTCAGCGGCTGAAGAATTTGCCACTTGGCTGACTTGGCAACTTGGGTGGTTTGGCAAAACTGGAATTGTGACCGATTCCTGAAGCCATGTCAATGCATCATCGCATGACAAGGCTGACTGGATTGCCTGGTCCATCGCGCAGTGTGTGGGACAAGCGCTGCAACGCGCCGGCTATAGGGGACCCTGTGGGGTGGATGGCTTTCTTTGCGCTGAACCAGAGGGCAGGTGCGCAGTTGACCAAACTTGGACAACTTAGATTTTGTATGGCATACGTGGCTCGCAACTGTCATTGGTTTACCCAAGACCCAGAGTGAAGCGCTGGAGGCTGCTGCTGCAGCCCATCAGTGACGTGAATCCACGACAAACAATGACGCGCCTTGCGGTGCATGTCGCTGAAAGATGTCCGAAGGTGCAGTCAGGGGAACAGGCAGGACGGTACCCGGTAGACACCCTCTCCTTACTGCAGGAGTGGCAGCCGAGACAACTGCGCATGTTCCCCCGGCATAAAGCTGAAGAACTGGAGCGGAGGCCGCACAAAACATGAACAGTTGTTGAAGCAGTTGAAACAGTTCCAGAATGTTCCAGACACTATAGGCCTCACTATGTTCCTGGAGGAATCCAAGTGCAAAGACTTGTCGTGCTGATCCTTCCATAGTTTTCTCTACCCAAGTTCCTTTCAACCTCATCAACTTATCGTTGCTTGTCCACAGCCGTCCCTGCTTTTGGCTGGATGTCTGTGCGCTCAGTTGTGGTGACGAAGCCATGTCAGCGGAGCTCGCTGACAGGCGGCAACAAGACGGGCGTTTGTCAAAGCTGGGCCATGAATAGTGATTGATAGTGATTGATTGATGATTAATGGAATTATCATGGATATTACTGGATATTAATCCTCCCAACTTTTGGAGTTTTTGTTGTCCACACATGGCCTCAAAATCATTGACCCAACCAGATGGTCATGAGATGGTCAAGCACCGACCCAGAACTGAACTTTGCAGATTTATTGGCACCACATTTCTTGAGACACAAATCAGAGATTCCGTGACCCTTCCAGCAAGCTGTGCAGGTTCGGCCTGGAGATTGGCCTTCACGCCATTCCACTGACCCCTTTGGGGCACCGCAACCGACGGCAACGCGGCCTGGCCGTGGTGTTGCTGGTGGAGAGGCACCCTGGGGAACTCACCAAGGGTAGTTTGACCAGTTGGACCAGCTGGACCAGTTGGACAAGTTGAATTTGCTTGGACTAGTTCGACTATGAAATCTGCTTGGTGGTTTCAGAGATTGAGATGGTGATCCTCAGCGACTACTATTTTTCGGGGGCGTGAAACTACTAGCCAGGTCTTTTTTGATGTCTGGTGTCTCTTATTGAACCCAGTACCTGTGCTGAGATGCAGGCTGAAAGTGACAATTCTTTCGTTTGCTGCATGTGAAGGGCTCGATAGAGAAGTTTCACAGGGTTGATTCTTAGAAAACCACGGGAAGTGATGGCAAATATCATCCAAACATTGAAGTTTCCTGTAGTTCTGTAGCTGACCCCTGCCATTTATCGCAGTTTTCGTTGAGATTTTGCGTGGTAGTGAGGTCGTCCTCAAAATGTGATGCAGACGACTCCGCATCCGAGTTGAAACGCTTTGCCGAACGCGTCCTACTAGAAGGCGGCAGGGTCTGGATTTGTTTGCCTTGTTTTCGATTCAGAATGCAGCTTTTGATGGATGAGACCGACCTCTTGGCAAGTTTCAGAAGGCCAGGCAAGGCCTAACCTCTTGTGTGCACTGTCTGAGAGAAAAACTCATTGAGTGGGTATGGTAGGGGTCAAGAATAGAGAGGGCCAACAGACCCAGACATTTGGGTCATCTTGAGGTATTTTCACAACATCCATGGTGAGATACAGGGTCATGGATTTTTAGCCATACCCAGGTGTTGTTCTGATTGAGCAACACTGCCGCACTGTGAACTGTTGGAGCACCAATTTCCTAGTTGAAACCCTTGTTTTTTTGCTCTTTGACACACACACACACTACATGGCCATCAACAGACTTTGAAGGCTCAGGCAAACCATGTCAATTTTCCGCTGCAATCCTATCCAGGCTCATTGGAAGCGAAATTGCAACCGCCAGAGAGGGAGCTGTACCGCCGTTTGCAGTCATCAACCTCGCTGGAGAAGGATACTCTAGAGCTCCAAAGTAGATCTTGTGCTTCAAGTTGTCTAAATGTGATGTCACAAGACCTTGTGCAGTATAGCTGCTCGATTTCTGCCTGTGTTTCGACGACTGCGTGCACTGCGAAGGATAGCCCGCTGGACGTGGCTTGGCCGCGGCGCAACCAGGAAATTGAGCTTTGCAGAGGCGCTGCAAGAGGAAACGCAGTGTAGTGTGGTGTAGCGTGCGTAAAGGTAGAGTAGTCCAATTGGTGGGCCAAACAGCTTGCACTTTTGATCTTAACTTGAAGTTGGATGAATTCACATGCCATGATTCCATATTCATGAGCATTTGGATTTCATATTCTACCATGATTCCACCCTGATGCCTCGTTGTGATCGGCCTCGCAGGTTTGAAGGGTGGCAGCGATCAACTTCCAAAGATGTCCCACATCATCGCTTCTGATGAGGCAAGTCTGGGTGTCATCTCGAAGGTCCTGTTTACCACTGCAGCTATGGCCATGTCTTGCTGTTTTCAGGCAAAGATCCAATGCTTGCATAAGTTTGCGAATCATGATGCTTGGATATGCTTGGCGTACAAAAGGATAGACTCATTATTTAGAAGGTCTTCCACAGAAGACTTGAGTGCATGCTGCACACTAATCAAAAAAGCACTTGTTTTTGGCGCTTTCATGGCCAGCAGATTATGGTGATGTAGCGAGACCTTGTGTTTCCCGGATATGCACATTCTTGAATAAGTCGGAGATTCCAATTGTATCCAATATAATATATATATAATATATATATAATATATATAATATATATTATCTATATTATATACGAATGAATCCAAACCACAGTGCTCAATGCTGCCATGGTCACCATGGTGACCGCGGTGACCGAGGAGCTGCAGGCCATTGAGATGTTCGCCTGGGCCTTGCTGCGCTTTCCCGAGGCCCCCGAAGCTCTGAAGCTGGGCCTTCTGCGGACCTTGGAGGAGGACGGCTACGTTGCTTGTTTCGTTGCGGACCATTGGGTATGGTAGCAATGAGTTGATGAGTTGATGTGGCACAAGGATATTCCTGTCCTGAGATTGGTGACATCAGGATGTCAGATGTTTTCATACTTTGGCGACAAAATGGGTTCAACGCTTTACATCGAATGCTTGAGCTACCAGGATGGGCAGATGGGCACACAAAAAACATTCGAATCGGTTCCACTTGCGCAATCAGGAACAGTCTCACTGCCGCTTGTACTTGCAACGTGCAAAAGCCATTGCAGCTGCAAGCAACGCTAGCTGCCCTCCAAATCCTTTGGGGTCGACACCTTTGTCAGGTGCGCTGGGATACCACTGTCTGATAGCTGCAATCATCAGCACTTGTGGCTGGGATACCATTTGCTCAGTTGGAAAGCTGTAATAAGATGCATTTTGTTGCTGTCAAGCGTAAGGATCCCACTGCAGGCTACCTGTGGAGCTGCTTAGATGGAGTGCGGCAAGCGGAGGACCCTCTGTCTGCTTTCCTGTGTGGCATAGGCGCGGTGGGATAGATAAAGGGCAGGTTCTGTCGCATGTTCAGAGTATAAAACTGAAGCAGGAACATGGAAACTTGCCCAACAAGTCCGCAGTTGAGTTGATTCTGATGACGGTTGGTAGTGCTTTCATGGTTAGGTGGCCATGGGACATGGATCACACGGCTGCAGAGGTCTCACCTTTGAGGCGGCGAACTTGGATCACAGCCTCCGCTATCGCGACATTTTTCTGCAGGTGCCGTGGCAGGGCAAGCAGAGATACTAGCTAGCGGAAGGCCTCCTCTCTGAAGTTCCCTTGCGCTTTTTCCCCAACAGCATAAGCTAATGGGGTCTTCAGCCCAGAATAGCTCCGGTGTGCACTGGTGCAGGCGCCGGGTCAGGTTCAACGAGGTTCCGGAGAAGGTTCCAAAGCTTCCGGAGAAGGTCTGGGAGGCGTTGGTGCAGAGGCAGGTCAGGTTAAACAGGGTTCGGAGAAGGTTCCGGAGAAGGTTTCGAAGAAGGTCTGGGAGGCTTTGGTGCAGAGCCAGGTCAGGTTTAACAGGGTTCCGGTTCCGGAGAAGGTTCCCGGAGAAGGACTGGGCTGGGAGGCTTTGGTGCAGCCAGGTCAGGTTCAACAGGGTTCCGGAGAAGGTTCCAGCGCTTGGCTTCGCAGCACGCTTCAGAAAGATTTGTAAACATAAAACGTTGCGGCTGTTGGGGATACCACCGAAGCTTATTGGTAACATCAATCCTAGCAGAGCGGGGGGCTTACCGGCTTACCCGAAAAGTAGAAATTTATATTGGAATGAACGCCCCTGCATGGCATTCCAAATGCCAGCCTTTTGTGCCAGGCGGGTGATCAAGAAACGGCTGCAGTGCTTCAGCGTGTCCATGACGAGGACCTGAATCCTGGACATCGGCCACTGATGAAATTCGAACATATTCTACCAGTTAGATCAGTTAGATCATTGAGTTTAGTTTACATATTTACATACTACTTTATAGTTTACTACATACATGTTCAACACCTACATCCCCCAGGGATCATACCTCAGCCACGCACTTGCCCGCACTTGCTGACTGGCGGCTCATCTCCGCCCTACCATTCTTCAGGAGGTGCACCATGTGAGATTGGCCAATGTCTGGCTGCGAAGGTTGGCTGGAGCTGCACCTGGGAGCAGTGAGGATTTGGAGTTGTACCAACGTTGGGAGCCAAGAGGGGGCCAAGAGATTGTCGTGGTTCGTCCGACTGGGAGGAATCACTTGGGACACGGTGAGGATAGTGAGGTGAGCTTTAGATTTTAGATTTGGCTCATTGAAGCAGTCACACCCGGAAGATTCAGATACAAAACTCAACAGACAAGGGTGGTCCAGTGAGGCAGCCGACTAATTCATGACATACAGAGACTGGGTCTGAGGCCATGCCATGCCGCCAGCCTTTGTGTTGTACAAGGCCCTCCTCAGGATTGGTGCAAGAAGCGTGGGCTTTCAATGCTGCGGTTGTAAAGTTTATCCCTTTTAACACATCACCCTAATATTACATAAATATACAAAATAACGGACACCAAAGTAATAATTAGATCCAATACTAAACCAGTAAACAACGTGATCTGATTCACCGATAAAGTTCACCAGGTCCACTGAAACTACAAACAACATCATCACTCATATCATCAGATCCATGAATTTGCGTCAAGAAGTTTCGAAAAAAATCACTTAAACCACTCTTGAAAGCCGCAAATTGCACCAGTGGATGGGAAAAAGAAAGCTACATGCCTGCAATGCAATTATTCAAAGCAAAACTATTTGAAACCTTATATTCACGCAAAGAATGTTGCAAACAATCAACACTTTCCAACCTCGAGGAGGCTTGAGGTCGATTTAGGATTGGACACCACCTTTATCAACCGCAAAAACACCAATGAATTTGTGCTAAAGACGGCTTCTGAGTTTGCTGGGCGTGAAGTACTTCTCTTCTTGGACCTCCTGCTCAGAAAGAGAGCTGCACTTGCTGGTCACATCCTTCGTACGAATGACAGAGCTTGCTTGAAACAAGTTACGTTTAAAGCTGGATCCGCTTAAATGCTTTCACAAGTGGCAAAAGAGTTGGAGGTCTGAGGCAGCAGTGGCGCCACTTCACTATCTGGAAAAAACGCACAGAACAGACAGAGCACGGCACAGAACAACAAACGCAACAAATCGGATGGCTCTCACAGCTCTCGCACCAAAATCTCAAATCTGTCGCAGCCCCATCTTAAGGAAAATCACCAAGTTACAGATGATTTTCCGTTAACTGGTGATTTTCCATGTGAGTACCCTTGGGAGGTTTCCTAAAATGGGGGGTATCACCCAAATCATCATCCAATTTCCTTTTGGGATTTTCCATTTGACCATCCAGCTATTGGGCCGTCCCGATTCCAGGCCCGTGGCAAGGGCTTCTTCGGTGAAGCCGCGCGGCGCAAGGCCGGGCTGTCAGAAGAGATGATCGCAGCAGTGAAAACTGCCAGGATCCGCTGCGAAGGTGGAGGGTGGCCATGACGCTCTGGCGTCATTTTGAGTGGGTTGGGTTTTGGCACTTTCCAGTGTTTTTGTCTTGCTTAGTCTTATACATATATATAGATATAGATATAATATAATATGTTCTATCATATGTTTGTATGATACAACTACATAATTATTTATACGTCTATGAAATACTAGGCATGGAATACTATAAAACATATAAACAACATACTATAGACTATAGATGTATATATTTATATCACACATTTTTTTTAAAGGAAACCTTTTGCACATTTTGCGCCCCATTTTAAGCCACTTGTCTTCCAAGAAATGCCACCAGGAGTGAGCGCAAGGTTCGGTGAGATGCTGGGTGTGTCCCGGAGAGGAAAAAAAGGTGCGTTTGAATGTCTGGCAAGATGATTCATACTGATTAATAGTCGTTAATGATGATTAATAATTGATGAATCATGATCAATAATGATTTATAATGATTACGGATGATTATGGATGACCAACAATGGACAGCCATGATTTTGTGTGTGTATATATATATGCATATAAGTAATGAAAAATGTGGATGATAGGGAATCTAGCGTTGATCAAGTCAAGGCTAGAAACATCGTCCCTGCAAAACCCTTAGATTCACAGAGTCTAAAGGGTCCAAAGGTTCAACTTTGGTGCAGTCCAGCACAACATGATCCTTGATCTGGCAGGTCCTTGGTCCCATTTGAATTTGAAAAGGCTCAAGGCTAAAGGCCAAGTCTCTGAACCTCACGGTGCCGGGCAGGCGGGGCGCTTCTCAATAACTGAAACCCTTTGCATGATGGTTTTCTGAACCAAAGTGTTTTCTCCCTTCCTAGTGCTATTTACTGTACCACCCGAAATCCTGGTTTAGCGTTCGATCTGTTCATTCAGTCTTTCCCTTATTTCGCTTGAAGAAATTTGGGGCTTGGAATCCATTAGATGTGAAAATCAGGATACGTATCGATATTCAACCATTGAATACCATTCATGTTATATGAATAGTTACAATGGTAATCCATTATTTAAAAATCCATTGAATACCATTGTAACAACTAATCACATTACAGTTGGTCTGCTGCGCTGGCAACAGGGCACCAGAACTCCCACCATGGGCTGCGGTGCCAGTGCCGAGGCGGCACGCTGTGGTCGAGCCAAAACTGCAAAGCATAACAAGGAGAAATATGTTTGTTGGAATATATAATTACATATACATATATATATATATACAAAGAAAAATAAACAATTATATACATACATTATACATATACATGTAATATATATATATACATATAAATAAACGCATGTATATATATATATATATATGCGCATAATCGCTTTGGGTTGGTGATCAGTTGTGATTGTCACCATTGTTTTTTATTTTTTGCCTTGGCATTTGTAATGCATACGACTCCGATGTTTCACGGGCAAGTCTGCTTTTGAGGCCCCATCTGTTTTGTTTAGACCTCCTGTCACTCAGCGCTGCTGTCGTGCCGCAGTCCACCCAGAAGAAGAAAAAGCAGCCGACAAGTCCAGAGGACCGAGGGATCTATAGCTTGGCATGCGTCTTTGGCTTGCCACCGGCGAATTTATATATATATAATAATTATATACAGTTAGACTGTTGCTCCCCCGTCTTTCTCATCTACCCGCCCAGATTATGATACAAGCAAATTCTATGGGGTAAATACTAAAGACAGGGGAGCAACACCTTATAGAAAACAATAATAAAAACAATAACAAACAAAGAAAACAAACAAAAAACAAAACAACATAGACAATACAATAGATTATAAAATAGACTATACCAAAAACTGAAACAACAAACTATACACTTACCCTCATTCAAAAGCCCATTGTAAAGCCTATACCTATGAGATGAGACTTTAAAATAAATTATGAAATAATTTATCTATAAAGCCAGACCCCAGCAATGGTAAAGCCAATACATAGTTTTTTGAGATTTCCAGTAGGTCTTTATGTTTTGACAAGGTCTGTCAAAAGTTTTGACAAAGTCTGTCAAAAGTTCTAACCACAGGCGTTAGGTGTCAATATCCAGCCCAGAAATCAAAAATATCCCGCCCAGATAATGGGAATATCCAGCCCAGATAGCACCCTGTAGGGGAACAGTCAGGGCAACTGTAGGGGAACAGTCAGGGCAACTGTAAGGGAACAGTCGGAGCTCAAAATGATTTAAAATCACTCTTAACCACCCAATCTGTAGGGGGGTTAGGGAGCACCCTGTAGGGGGGACAGGGAGCACCCTGTAGGGGGGACAGTTTGGCTCAAAATGATTTAAAATCCCTCTTAACCACCCAATCTGTAGGGGGGACAGGGAGCACCCTGTAGGGGGGACAGGGAGCACCCTGTAGGGGGAACAGGGAGCACCCTGTAGGGGGACAGGGAGCAGAAATACCCAGCCCAGATAATGGGAATATCCAGCCCAGATAATGGGAATGGAACCCCTCCATTTTGGGGAATGTAGTCCCTCCATTTTGGGCAGATTATGAAGGAAATTTAATCATTTTTGGGTAGGAATGCACCCCCTACATTTTGGGGAATGGAACCCATACATTTTCAGGAATGGCACCTCTCCATTCCAAGTTGAGAACCGAAATCCAGCCCAAGTAGGAACCCCCTATCCTACCTTATGAGCCCAAGTAGGAACCCCCTATCCTACCTTATGAGCCCAAGTAGGAACCCCCTATCCTACCTTATGAGCACCTTTCCAAGTAGGAAATGAAAATCCTACCAAGTAGGAAACCCAAATCCTACTTAATGAGCCCGTTTCCTGTAATTAAAACCATACTTACAATAGTCAATATCAAAATACGGAAGCCCTTTCATAAACTCCTGCTTCTTCAAAAGTCCGCTCTGGGGATTTTCTATTGTAAATACTCGCGGATTAAAGTAGTTAATTATCTCAAGCGTTTTCAAAACGATGGCATTAGCCTCATCAATTTTTCGCGTTCCAACCGTTTTAGCAATACTGTATTCAATACAGGGGGGAGAAGCCCAGACAAAGTCAAAGTATTTCACTGGATATTTTTTTGTATTTCCATTGTAGTATGTCGCAGTTTATATCAGCCCCTTTCAAATCTAATGACACAACAGTCCAGCCCATATTTTTAGCTACACTTCCAACACTACCAGTGCCACTAAACAATTCTAACAATTTCATAATATTATTATAGATAATAATATTATCAAATTTTCATCTATTCACCCATCACTTTGAAGACTTCACCGTCTTTTTCAATTTTATAGAACTCAAGTGTCTGAGACTTTGGCATTTTTATCTTGCCTTCGTTCAGCATTTTCAGATACTGCTGTTGCTTGGTTTCAAAAGTTCCTACAGGTCTGCCGATTTTTTTAGCCTCAAAGATTTTATCAATCCTTTCCTTTTCAGCATCAGCATCATTATTTTCAGTAGGTTTATTTTTCACTAATATATCAAGTTTTTCTAATGCCTTGTTCATTAAGTCCATCAGTGTTTTGACATTCTTGTTGTATCTTGTCATCTTGTTCAGCATCTCTGCCATTTCAGGTTGTTTATCATCCAAATCACTCATTACTATATATTAAATATTTAGATATTTATTTATTTATTTAGCAGTTCAAAGTGTGTTAAAATAACTCTTTAAATATGTTTCAATCCATATCATTTATGGACAGTTGTTTTTTACTTCTGGGCGTAGCCATTACATCACTTATCATTTGGTTTCTGTTTGCTTCATCATCATTGGGCGGGGTTGTAATTCTATTGAAACTGAATGAGATACTGTGGATTTCACTGTCCAATGTGATGTCCCCGTTGTCATCCCTGCTGACATTCATTGTTTTGTCATTTTTACTGATTTTGAATGAACACGGATTACACTTACATTTTATTCCCTTGGGGTTGATTTCAATTTCATTTCTCAATTGTAATTTACAATGACACAGTGGGCAATCAAAGGTGATAAATTTACTTGTTAGTTTTTGCTCCTCATCCAGATTTATTGTGGTGGGTTCTTCATCTGATAGTTCAAAATCTTCAGGTATTGGCTTTTTTGGTATTTTGCGTTTACTACTTTTCTTTGGTGGCATTTATATAATACTTAAGATAATTTATAATTGCCTTCAGGAACTCCAGCATTACCCTGAATATCTGTTTAAGTTTATTATCTTTTACAATTGGAAATTTAGTATCATCAATGACACTATCTTCAATCACATCTATTGTATTGATATAACTATCAAAAACTTCACAACTGCTCATCCTATATAATTAGATGATATATTTTACTACTATCTAATTGTATATGGATTTTTAGGCGCAAACAAAAATCCATAAGGGGCGGTAGGTAAATGTCAAAGAAAATGAACTGTGCTGATTGAAACATAGCATCAAACAAATTCAAGAGCAAAAAGGCTTCAAATCTTCTACTGCTTGTTGTCATAGCAAAAAGAGACCGTGTCGGGAGTGAAAAAGAAGCAAGAGCAAAAGGGGTGGATTTTTTATGTTTAAGTAACATTCTTATGATGGGTAGAATGGCAGTCTGTTCCATATTCTACCGACCCCTATTCAGGTAAAATAAGATATGCCATTTACAATGAATATTAGAAATTAATTTCTAAATAACTTATATGAAAAAACTTGATGTTCCCAAGATTGAACCTATCAATGTAAAACAGTATGAATTCAAACAATCACCATACCCACAAGCAGACAAACTACCATTCAGAAGCATCATTGTATCGGCATCACAGGGCGGAAAGGGTATATTAATTCAGAACCTCATTCTAAAAATCTACAGGGGATGCTTTGAGAGAATATACATTGTATCACCGACAGCCCACATAGATGAAGCATACAAAGAAGTAATCCGATATATAGAGAAAGAACTAAAAATAGACAACAAAAAAGAGCAATATTTGTTTGATGAGTATGACCCTGAAAGTCTGGCACACATCATAGACACACAGCACAAAGTGATAGAATACCAGAAGAAAAACAAGATGAACAAGTTATATAGTTGTTTGTTAGTAGTTGATGATTTCGCAAGAAGATAAGACATTTATGAGATATAGTAAAATCCTTCACGGCTTATACACAAAATCAAGACACTTTGGATTATCAGTCATAACTGCCACACAGAAGTATAACGCTTTAAGTCCTATAGTCAGGTTAAATTCAAGTAGCCTTTACATCTTCAAACTGAAAAATCAGTCAGAACTTGACACATTCATTCAAGAGCAGTCAGCCCTGATTGATAAGAAAACCATAAATGAAATTTACAGAGTAGCCACTGAAGAACCCTACTCATTTCTATTTGTAAAGTTGAGAGAGAGTGATGTAAATAAAATCTTTATGAAAAGGTTTGAAG